AAAAACCCCTCTTGCAATGTGATCATTATATTTTCAGTATCTGAATGCAGGTTGAATTCAAACAGCTTCTTTTCAAACAGGCTCTGGCTGTGCACAAGGAGCTGAACTGCTGCACAGAAATTTTGCTGGAGAGTTTCGACCAGCTGAGAACAATTGGCTCCAACAAGGACGGGCTGCTGTATGGCGTTCCTATCAGCATCAAAGACAATGTTTCATATAAGGTAGACAGCTGGCAGAATTTCACTGTGGTGATCTTTCTTTATTGTCTGGATAAAGATGAGATTTATTGCGTTGATGTGCCACTATCTGACTCAGTCCTGTGTTCTTTCTACTTATTATCTCCCTACTACAAAGAACTACGACTGCACGTGTGGCATAATCATGAATCTGAGCCAGCCAGCCAAGAAGGATAGTGTGATTGTGGAAGTACTGAAGAAACAAGGAGCCATTCCTTTCACAAAAACCAACCTGCCACAAGCACTATTAAAGTAACTTAAAACTGTAGCATTGTTGTGACACACACATTGCGCAACCACATAAATAGATCTTATGTCCTTAGTATTTATAGTTGAATCAGATTTATGACACAACGCATGACAAGCACATAACCTTTACTTTCTCACTGTATGCTGTTAAATTGGACGTCATGCACAATTGTTTTAAGTTCTTCATAACTATTTGCTAGATGTTGGATTGAGGGAATTTTAGAGATTTTTTTATTGTCTTTAAATTAAGATGTTGGCATGCATCTTTTTGTATGTCCTTTTTTGTAGGTTTTTTTTTTAATCTGTATGACTTAGATCAGACATTTTGGGTTTTCTTCCGGAAGCTTCTCACAATATTTTGCTGCACTTTTGCTCTGTCCCTCCTGACAGAACTGGTACAATGGAGTTACGTTTGTAACGTTGCTCACGCACCTTTTAATTCTGCCAACAAATTATCTCTTGAACTAAGACAGGGTTTTCATGTTGGCACTCCAAAACATTAACTTTTGGAGTTAATGTTTTAGAGTGCCAAAGCACTCCAAAACATTGAAGTGTTTTGGCACTCCAATGTGCCAAATTTGGTACTGTAATTTTTTTAAGCTTCAAAGTAACTTAAGCTGTGCTTAAGTTACTTTGTAGCTAATTTGGTGCTATTGTTTGGGACACTGTCCTTATGGACAACACATTTATATCCAAATTTGAACTTTCTGGCTGTTGTCTTGAGATGTTTGTTCAATATTTCTACATAATATTCTTTCCTTATGATAGCATTTATTTTGTGAAGTAAACCAGTCCCTCCATCAGTCTTTCCTTTGTGTTGCTTTCAGATGCATCCACTGGTGAGCCCTTAATAAATACAATTTCTTTGAACTACCTTTAAAAAAGCCACAAGATAATTATCTGAGCTTCCCAAAATTGTTTAATTTTTTTTTTTATTCTTAATTTGAAAAAAGAAAATGGTTGTGTGTCTGTTTTTACTCATTGTGTATAACTATCTGGCTTCATATGTGTCTGTTTTCTGCCTTTCGTTTGCAGTTACGATTGCAGTAACCCCATCTTTGGCCAGACGGTCAACCCCTGCAATCCCCAGAAGACCTCTGGAGGCTCCTCTGGTGGGGAGGGGGCGCTGATTGGTGGAGGGGGCTCCATTCTTGGCATTGGCAGTGACATAGGGGGGAGCATCCGCATACCTGCCTCTTTCTGCGGCATCTGTGGCTTTAAACCCACAGCAGGCCGACTCAGGTGGGTACACTTCAGTGAGTTTTATGAATGCTTCTAACACAGTGACATGACCTTTACTCTTTGTCGCCGTTAGCTCACAGGGCATTGTTCCCATTTACCGAGGTCAAAAATGCGGTAAGTGTTGATAGTCCTCACAATTTCACACAGTGACATATTACCGTTTTCCTGTTGAACATTTGGTTAACATTGCTGAGCCTCCTGTTGACTTAGTGCTCTCATCTCCTGGACCCATGGCACGGGACGTGGATAGTTTAGCTCTGTGCATGCAGGCTCTGCTCTGTGACCACATGTTTTCCTTGGACCCCACTGTTCCACCTTTACCCTTTAATCTTCAGGTGTGTCCTCTGCTGTTTAATTTTTTTTTTCTTACGAAGGTTTTCTGAACAAAAAGGTCAAAAGAAGGTTTTGTCAAATATTAAGAAAGTGAATGAGGATTTTTTTTTTAAACTTAAAAATAAACATTGTGCTGGGATTTGACAAATGCAAATAATTTTGATAATTCTAACTGACCTTAAACGGGGAAAAAAAAATTTCGTCTGATTTAAAGTTGGGCAATGAGGAGAGAAATTGGTTATGTATTTTTTATACAGTGTATGCAATTATCTGGTTTAACAAATAAACCAATTTAAGTTTAAAAACATACATTTTAAAGGTTTAGTCTGTGCTGTTTTGTTCAGCTCAACAACAATCATGTTTCAATATGGAGTTATTGTCATTAAACCTGCCAGCTGTATCAGTTTGCCTCATTGGCCAATTTGGTGGATCAGATGATTGTGAGGCCTCTAAAGTATGTAAAGTATGGAAACACATCATCTTTTAAGCTGTTGAACTACTGACAGACTGATGCAAAATCTAAATAAATGGAAATGGCTTTTCTGCAGACATACCAGAGCTCCAAGCCTCTCAGAATCGGTTACTTTGAACACGATGGGTACACGCAGCCTCCTCCGAGCATGGTCCGCGGCCTCCGAGAGGTCAAAGCTCTGTTGGAGCAGGCTGGGCACACAGTAAGGCCACAACACACACACACACACACACACACACACACATCTTTGCAGATACTACTGTGAAGACCACAACTTTGTAAAACATGCAGTATTTCTGATGCGATCATCTTTGCTGTTAGGTGGTGCCTTATGAACCTCTGAGGGTGAGTCAAGCTGTCAATGAACTCATCCTCAAGGGCGTGTTTGCAGATGGAGCTGCCACCATGCTACAAAAACTGTAAGTTGTGTTTTATCATTATGTTTAAGGCATTGACTAAACCGATTATGTTTCCTTTTTGTGGAAGGTAAATCTGAGTGTACATGTCTTAAGTCCGGCAAAAACACTAAAAGTAATATTTTGCAGGATGTGGCTAAAACATAATTAATGACTCATCCAATTTAGAGAAAGCAGGATATTCTGAACATAGCTAACACAAAGCCTGGTTAAAGATTTTTCCAGAATAAAAGTTGATGTTTTGTGAAGGACTCTTAATATTTCCTCTCAATGATTAGCATTTTCAGCACATTTTCGTCACTTTTTTTAAACGGGACAAAGTGTTTCTGTTTAAAAAAAAATCTTCCAGAGTTGGATATTGTGTCAGAAAGCAACAGGGGGCATTTGTGATTTATGTAATAGTTTCTTTAAAAAAATAAATGTCAGTTTCCCACATATACATGTTTAAACTAAACATTTTTTTTTAAAGAAAATAAAAAAAATTGGAAATTGTTTTAAAAAAATCTGTTTGGAAAGTGAGACGAAAACATCAACCACCTGTTAGTGTGTGATTCAGAAATTCTGCAATATGTACAATTTGCATTGAGTTTAGCTTGTTGTAAGTAGCCATCTGATGAAATGCAAGTAATAAAAATACAAAACCTTAATTCACGTAGTGGGTTAGTGCAGCTGCAAAGAGAAAGGAAATAATCTTCAGGATGCCTGGTCTCTAAATTTGTCAATCTAGATGTGAAGTTGATGAACAGTCAGTGTCAAAAGCATTGAGATTTGGTGTCGATGGCCTAGAAACTCCAGATCTAAATCCCAATAGCTACTAGTTGTCAGTTCTTAAAAAAAAAAACAGTCTAAAAACTTTAATGGGTCAGTAGTGGTCAAGACTGAGATGAGATCCAAATGGAGCGAATTGCAGAAGTTATGAAAACTGTAGCACTGTAAATGTTGACACTTTGCATGTTGTTTTTTTTCTCAATTAAAACCTCTAAAACTCATGAAATGTTTAATTTCAGAATACCACAAAACATTTTGCAATGTTGATTCAGGAGAATGTGTGGGGGAAAAAATGTAGTCAGTTGGGGAAAATGTTGTTTTTTTTCCTCCTGGTGTTTTAGTTGAACTGAAATAAGTAATCTCTTTTTATGGCAGGCTCTTACTTATTCAACGGTTTATTGCAAAAGACATCATTAAAGTTATTGATTAACCCAGTGTTTCTCAAGCGTTTTCACAAACACTCATTGACCACATAGTTTGAAAATTCCCCACAATAACACAGCTTTTTAATATATGCAACCTGGAATAAAAAATATTAGTCTCTTAGCTAATGAGAATGGCGGTGCTGTTTTATAAATGTGTCTAGGCCACGACAAAATCACGAAAAGCCATGGTGTTTTGAGTTAGTTATACATTGTTAAAGTGTGGATTCTAAGCTTTCCAGTGATGTCAAACACATGAAAATTAAAAAAAAAGAAGTTGTTTCACTATAAGTTTTGAGTTCATTATTAAAATTTTTTAGGCTATTTGTAATTTAGAAGCACAATAAAAGAAAACTAGATTTGAGTTGCTTTGGTAGAAACAAAAATACTTTCCTGCACCATTAAGTGTAAAAAATTATCCACCTATTTCTATCAATTGCAGTTACCTTTTTGTGTTTATTATGTGATTAAATCATTTTTAATTGAATAAAAATAACAATAGCTGTCAACATATGAGCAGAATGTTACAAGCAAGCAAAGTCATTAAAAAACAAAGAACAGTTCTCATCATCTGAGATTTGTTCACGGCATAGAGCCGTTCAAAAGAATCAAATTGTTTGTGAATGACACAAATACTCAGCAGATATTGACTTGTTTTCTTTCCACCGGTATCTTCAGTTTTCCTTTGAGTTCCTTTGAGGTTTTAAGCCACCTGCCCACTATTACTTTTAACCACGATCCTTTGGTAAACTAACTCTACAAGTCACAAATTGAGCTCAAGTCACATCAAATAAACTACTGTTCACATGCAGTACCTTGAGGACCACTAGGGGCACCCATGGACCACAGTTTGAGAGAGACTGGATTAGTCTTTACCATTCTGTCATCACTAAAAACGACACACATTACTTAGTATTTGGTTCTGTCTAACACACCAACGCTATGCCAACGTGCCCCAGATGGCTCAGCAGACGTGATCTGAATCTGTTCTGAAGGTAGTGCGGCATTTCCAGCGAATCACGGCAGTCATTCTGCTTCTGTTTCAGGAAGGGAGGGCCTCTGGATCCCTGCCTCAAACCTCAGATTGTTCTATACTCCATCCCTAACTGGTTGAAGAGAATCCTCGTGTTCCTGCTGACGCCCTTTGTGAGTTCTGCCTCGCTGTTCCAGAAATGAGAATGCAGTGCAGATACAGATTAATTCTCATTTCATGTCATTCTCACAGTCTACTCGCGTCCCTCCCATTCTCAGCGCCCTCTGTGGAGTCAGGTGCGATGATGTCCTTTCAAATTAGCCGCTTTAGTTTTATAGTTGTCTGTCAAATTATTTGTTGAACCAAAATGCTTCCATATCCCTCCCCACCTTGATGTTCTCAGTTCCCCTGCGGAGGTTTGGAAGCAGCATGCTGCTGTGGAGGACTACATTTCTGACACGATAGCACACTGGAGGAAACGCAACATTGATGTGCTGCTCTGCCCCATGATTGGACCGGCCTTCAACTTCTTGTACTGCGGCAAACTCACGTGTACGGTTGTATGAGGAGCTCCTACTAAAACATCTGGAGATGGAAGAATAATGAATGATTTGATGAAAGAGGCTTTCTCCACACATTTTAGAGTTTTTGGATTGTCTCTTGGTGTAACAATTTAATGAATATTTGTGAAAACTTGTGCGGCTCTGCATCATCATTTTTATTAATCTCTGTATCTGGAAAACGCAGGTCCCCCAAATACTGATTTTCATTTTTTAAAATCTCTACAGTGAAAAGCATTTTTAGAATATTTTTTTTGTCACAATGTATTTAGAGTGAAAATACTTCCGGCTTGCAGAAATAGTCTTGTTTTTCTTTCCAAGTTCTGCAGTTTTCTTGGTCTGCTTTCTTTCAGGTCTCTCCAGCTTAACAATGATATACAATCTACTTAATTTTCCGGCCGGTGCTGTCCCCGTATCCACGGTGACGGCTCAAGACGAGGAGGATCTTAAGCATCTGAAGGGCCTTTATCAGGACACCTGGGAGAAGATGCACAAAGAGGTGAGACTGTTTTCTGTAGGCCATAAAAAACCGCCAAATGCAACAAAATACATTATAGTAATTATTCTTTGAAGCTTTGTTGGACCACTAGTTTTATTTTTTGTTTTATACGTTTTTTAAGGATGTTTTACTGGATAAAAGCACCTCAAGAATTACAGAGAAATTAACTAATTAGCCAAAGATAATGAATGTTTCCCAAGCTAAAGCTGTTTATCTTTTTTTTTTTTTTTCTGTATCTCTTTTGAAGCTTTAATCACTTTGGTTGTTTCACATCTGCAGCTTCATTACCACGGCTAAACTCTCCTCACTGATAGTTTACCCGTGGTAATGAAGTTTCCACGATAATCTCTTAGCGCATCTCGTTAATGGAAGTACCGCGTTTGTCCAGCAGGTGGCAGCAGAGACCACATGAGCCGTTTGCTTGGCGTCACGTTGGACCTTTGTGTTTCAGGCTGTCAGCGGCGCTGAGGGTCTGCCCGTGGCGGTGCAGTGCGTGGCCCTGCCGTGGCAGGATGAGCTCTGCCTGCGCTTCATGAAGGAGGTGGAACAGCTTGTCAAACACAAGAAAAACTAGACCAGCGCGCGGATGTTCCGGATCCAAAAGCTGGACGGCACGTCTTAATCACACCACAGTGTTTGATAAAGATTCTGGTTTTTACATGTGGTTTGTAAGGCAACATCTGTTGAGCAGGTTTAGAAAGTTTAAAGAAATAAATCTATAATTAAAGCGATTAACGTTTGCTTTAGAGTATCTCAATACTCTAGCTCGAACGGCATGGTCATTCTCCTTTAGAGTAATGAATGAACTGTCACTTTTTTATTTTTGGAGCTATAAAAGTCTACTCAGTCTGTTAATAAATCATGTGCAACCACTGTTAAACACTATTCACCCCCCCTTCAAATAAAGTGTCACCGCTAATTTTGATCAATTTTTCTCAAATGTAAAGTTTTCTTCATGAGTTTTTCACCATAGATATTTCTGCCCATAAATATGCTGATTATTATAAACATAACAAGGATTTTAGATTCACAATTTAGTGTTAATTAGACTCGGAAAAATTAGGTTTTTGTTCTGTTTTTCCATCTCAAAGTGTGTTTGATGGCTCACACTTGGGCATAACCAAAAGATAATTGAAAACTTACCCCAATGCGTAAGTAAACACAGCAAATAACGTGTAACGCATTGTAAAAATGAGTACAGATTTGAAAATAATATGAGTGTTTTTGTAATTTAAATATTTTATGTAATCAAATGAATGAGAATAAAGTTGAATTTTTCTTTGAAAAGGCTGTTTTACAGTAAAGCCTGCAGCTCAGTTAATGTTACAGTCATTTTTAATGAAGGTATGCATTTTCAAGACACCTGTGTGCTTTCAAAGACACAAAACCTCTTTCTTTTTCCTCTCCACGTCCTCATCACTGAGCGGCACACGAGTGAAGATCGTTTTTATTCATATTCAAGATGGTTTATGCAGTGATGCCACAGCAGACAACGGAAAAGAGATAAAGGAGACTAATGACACATGGCGCCTCCATCTCCAAGGCCAGTGCGCCGTGTCCTCATATAGTGATTACCCTGTGCTATTGTAAATATGTGTTTCTGTGTTGGGTTTACATAAATTTACATATGTGTGAAAACACCCCTGGAATGGGAAACCATTAGAGTCGATGTCAGCATTTTCCATTACGGTCCCTCTTTCTTTTTCTTCTTTTATTTCCCAGCCGTCTACCCCAAATGGAAATGGGCCCGTCGTGCACATAGTGGAGGACGGAGGGCACATTAGGTGTGGAGGAGAGCAGGAATTGAGAGGTTGTTCTTAGTATTATCTGCAGCACATAGAGAGAAAGTGTGCCTCTCGCTGTGCCACTCAGTCAGGGTGCATTAAGCCTTAAGAGGCAGTGAAGAGACTCAGTTCTTCAGAGGGAACTTGACATTGTTCATAAATCCCTCTGGATCTGAAACTGAATTAATGGCACACACGCATATATGCACTATCTCAACTCGTCCCATTTTATACGTCGGCAATTTAATCATTGTGTGTATTTTATTGAAGTAAACGGTGTGATTATTTATGTAGCGCAGTACAAAAAAAAAAAAAAAATACCATGCATTATCACAGAGGGCATTGTCCAGAAGATAATTTATTATTTTATCAATTATTGCACTGTGAGCTTTTAGAAAATGTCCCAAATTATATTTGGGAACTGTAACTTTTATTTTTTTATGTTTAAGAATAGCCAATTAAAATGTTTACTTTTACATCATAATAGTAGAATTGGATAGTCACAGTGGATTAATTGAACGATTGATTAACTGTTGTTTATGTCATGTAAGTGAGCACTATACCTCTCCTCGAGATTGCATAATAACCAGTGGCAGTCATACTATGTTAAGAAATTGATGCCTTTTAAAATAGAATATGAATATTAAAAACACAACTTGCAAATAAATAATTGGGTAGTCATTAAATAAATGCCAATGAGACTCTTTTCAGATCAGAAAAAAAACCTTTAAGCAGGTAGTAAACATATTTTTTTAATAACTAAGTGGAAAATAATCTTTAACAGAAATGGAAGTTGTTAAAGAATGTGTAAAAACATCTACACTATGTGTTTCACTTAGCAAATTTACTTAGTGACAAATAAACCTTTGAAGAACATTCTAATTAACTGAGCATGAATATAGACAGAAATATTTCTGTCATATCAGCACCATCCACACTGATGGTAAAGACTTTGTTCAGTATGATAGTTTTCGGCTGCTCATAGTTTTTTTTCATGCAGGCCAACGAATTTAAAGATGGTCTCATGTGACAAAAACCCAGCTTGGTTTGCAAATCCAAAACTACCTAACAAGTAACATGGGGTAAATTCTTTCACTTAGTGTCAGTGTCTATTCTTGTGACAGGGCGTAAAGGTGTTAAAAATGTTGTCGCTGTCCAGGCTTCTTGTTCTTAGAAGGTTACAAGCAAGAAGTGCCAGGTCACTGATTCAGCTTTTCCCATCATCGATCCACATAGTCTTTTTTCCACAAAATATACTGTACATACAGCTCAATAACATAACATGAAATATTAAAGGTATTTTTATATGGGTTGCACGCTGTTGGCAGCATTATTGCCTGACAGCAAGAAAGTCCTGGGTTTGAATTCTGGCCTGGGGTCTTTCTGCATGGAGCGCTCGGTCTTCCTCCTGCAGGCCAAAATCATGGCTGTTACGATAACTGGTCACTCTAAACTGTCCTGCATATCAGCAAGTAGTTCAATGCTGGCGTTGTGTCAATACATTATTTTCTGAAATGTGGGGTTTAACAAATGGTTACATTTTCCCACTAGCTCTTTCACTTGCTTGTTACCTGAGATTAGGCCATAGGCTAAGATTGGATCCAATTGTTCTACGCTTTTTACTTAATTCATTCCTCAGTTTATTGTTACTGACATTTTAGATGGTTTCTAGGTTTAATATAATAACAAACAGACTAAAACAGTACATCAAGTAAAAAAATAAAATAAAATAACACCTGGAAAATGTATTCATGCAGGATATGAGTATTCCAGTGCAAAGTTTCCAGTTTAACAAGTTTTGCCTGAAAAGTTCCAAAAGGAAAAAGTGACGGAGTTTGGAAAGTTAGCTTTCTGGCCAAGCCGAACCTGTTGTAATCAAACAGCAGAAGCATCCAGCGGTCCCAGGAGGACAAAGTGTTCTTTCATGTAACGTCTCATTGATAAGAGCAGCAAACACCTCATTTACAGCAACCTTAGGCTATAAGATCAGGTACTTTAAAAGCCATCCCGACACATTCAGACCTTGCCTGTGTGCAAGCAAACAAAACACCTTTATATCAACACAACTAAACTAGGATGATTCTGTCTTAATGTCCCATTTCAGGGACCGAGGAGCCCAATAGTCTTTATGACTCTGTAGAATTGCAGCTCGTGATGTTGGACGCAGCGGGGGGGTGCTTCCTGCCTTTTCAGATGATCAAAGAGACAAGTTCACCCTGCAACCAGAGCCACTTACAGGCGACATCAAGAAGCTGCGAGATTGGCAGCTTTTTCGTCTTTGGTCCATTTCGTCAGCCATTACTACCAGCAGAGGCAATGTGCTGTGGCGGAGCAGACAGGGGAGGGGAAGGCAGATTAACAGAGAGCTGATACAGGTGTACAGGCGGTATCAAACGGCAGCCCTGTCAATACAGCAGGCTCCAGATTTCTTCAGACGGGGCTGGGCTCCTAGAAGTGTAGCCACTTGATTTAACTATGACAGGATTAACTGGAGCTCCGTATGATTTCCTCAGATTCTGTGACTCAACAATTCAGTGATCCACGCTCTATCGGCTTTGAAGGCCCCTATCCCAAGTTTCAAAGGCTTACCTTCGGACAAGGTGCATTCTTTTCTCCCTTGCGGTTCCGCTTTCCAGCTTTTCTGCTGCATTCAGTTGTTCGCCAGCCCCCCGTGTTTCGCGCCGACTGCGTCGTCCTCCCTTCTCTGCACATCTGCTAGGTTTGGGGTTTCCTTTCTTCCCTGCAGCTCCTTGCTTGGCCCGAGGCCCTTATAGCCAAATTGGTTTACATTGCAGAGATAAATGCTCTGCAAATGCGCTTAAACACGTACAGTAAAAAATGCAGACAGTGCGTGTCAGGATTATCACTCTAGTTGGAGGTGGTGGGGGGGTGGGTGGGTGAGAGAAAGGAGAGCATCTCTGGCACAAAGCTGAGGGAGCCGAAGTGGAGCCTGCAGATACAGTCCATCTCATCCACTTCTCAGGAGGAAAAAAAAAAGGAGGATTTAGCATTTGCATGCCAGTCTGTAATTCCTGGCATTATATAACTTGTCGACAACAATCAAACTCCTGTGACATTGTGGAAGTATTGTTTCGCAGGGGTGAGCAATGTGTGGAGTTGCACTTTGCTGGGCTGGTGGTGCGCGGGCCAAGATGATTGGCAGAGACCACCAGGTCTGTCAACCAAAACAGCGTCAGCTTGAGCTGAAAAACACGGATTTTGATTTTTACCATTATTAGTTTTGAGGTGAGACGTTGCTGCCTCGAGAAGGGGTGGATAACCTCAAATCTTTGCAGAGATCAGGTTTTGTTGATTCACCGTGCAGCGTGCGACGACACACAGACAATCCCTTCGTTGAAATGTGTGCGTACTGTCAACAGCGGTTAAAGTGTGCAGGAGGAGGCATTGCTTCCAAACTTTGTGCTGTGGTGCATTTCCATTCGTCAGAATCTTTATTCTGACCCTTTAGGAGTATATTTCTGGAATTTAAAAATGCAATCCCGGTCCGATAACGTGCATCATGCAGCTGAAGCTCGCGCATCATATAAAAATTATCGACAAACAGGATTGTTGCAAAATAAAATCATATTGTGTAATATAAAGTATGTGGCTTGGTATGAAGTACATAAAAAAATGGCGGGATTGCATAATAATTCAAACTATTTTAAATTAGATAAGAAACTAAGATTGAGGTGAGATAAGAAAGGTAAGAAACTAAATTACATATTAAAATATATTATTTTGACTTCTACAATTCCAGACAACCACAAACAGCGTATTTTACTGCGCTGTAATGTGATAGATAGACCAACACAACGTAGTGCATAATGTGTAAAGAGATTGAAAAATGGTTTTCATAAAACTTTAATACCTCTAAAGTTTGACGTACTTTGTGCCAACTCATTCATTCAACAGCCACTTCTCCATTATTCTTTGCAAACTAGTTCACGCTAAACTTAGACCGCATGGTTGGTCTGTGAGCAGTTTTAAAGCCTTGCCAAATTTTATCAGTCAGAATAAGACTATACTTTTACTAGGCCATGTTAAAACCTGGGCATGTTTTCTCTGAACCATTCCACTGCCTCTGCCTGAATGTTTGAGTTCACTGCCTAAACGTTTCTACAGTCATCTTCCAAGACTCAAAGCGTATCCCCATAGCATGATTACGCCACCTCCATGTTTAATGGAAGGGATGGTGAGTAAGGGCTTTCTTTTTGCCTGCATTCCTTAAATTTGCAGAATTCAGGTCAGAGTGAATTCACTTGAGAATTTGAGGCAGGACTGAAGAACTGATGTTCGGACTTTCCACTGAATCTGACAGAACTTGGGCAATTTTGCTAAAAAATGATGTGCAAAAATAACTCAATCTCAACGTGCAAAGCTGGCATTCTGAACATCGAAACTAATATCTTTAACATGGGCCTCTCACTACTGATAGCAGCTAAACCGCAGTTAAAAATAAAATGAAAAATAAGCATCAGAATAGAGGGCCTTTGTTGTAGAAGGATGTGTTCTGAGGCATGAACTGATGATAAACTATGACACAAGAAACATCCAGTAGAAAATGAACTTTCAATAGTATTTTACACCAGGTTTTAGCTCCCCCTTCCCTTCAAACTAAAGAATAGGTCATTGACCTTTCTGACTTCATAATTAATATTTACACAATTTAGGCCTCAACAATCCAACCTATAATTATCAGTGAAAGTAAAGGCGAGTTAGACAAGTCTACAAGTGTGTACGAAACCTTCCCACAAATCTGTGCAGACAGCCAGAGCTTATCCAGAGTGGATTCAGAAGAAACAGCTTTCTTCCTTCCCACCTGCTGCTGCTGCTGTCGTCCCCGTTTGGCTGTCTCTGTCCGCCGGCTTTAGTGTAAAAATTAAAAAAAAAAAAAAAAAAAACCCCAATTTCTCTTTTTTTTAGTTTTGTGTTTTTAACTTCCAAAA